AGAGGCAGGCGGATCTCTGTGAGTTTGAGACCAGCCTGGTCTACAAGAGCTAGTTCCAGGACAGGCTCCAAAAAGCTACGGAGAAACCCTGTCTCGAAAATAAAAAAAAAATAAATAAATAAAAAGATCACTTATGTACTTACATATGAAAGTATGGTTAAATAAATGATGGGAATTTTATACAGTCAACCACAAGGCCAAAAGCCCTTACATGTGTATTGAGAAAAGTCTGGAAAGAGTCCATACAATTCCAGCTGTGGAGAAGTTTAATTTCCCCAAATTTCTGTAACATCTACTACATTGCCATTCTAATAGTAGAGGGATTCATGTAGTTGGATTTTTTTTCTCAATGTAATACATCATCACAAATGCATCAAGGTAGTAAGTCAATTAATCTGCTCCCATGTATGTGTGCATGGCTTCTTTGAATTTGTATACACTAGCTGAAGCATTGTTTTAAAGATGAAATATAAAAAAATAAAAATTTGCATTATATGACTAGATATCTTATTTAAATGAGAAAATCTGCCCCTCTGCGACTTATTTGCTGATACTCATGTGAAATGGGTTGATTTCCTGTCTTTACATGGGTGTTTGATTTAGAGTAGGGACTGATTTAGAGTAGGCTCTGTATTAACTATTAGTTTTGTATCCTGAAAATTTCCTGAGATTTAGTCTTTATATCTTTATAAATCAGTGTCAGTCTGTCTGTCTCTCTTTACGTGTGTGTGTGTGTGTGTGTGTGAACACACACACACACACACACATGCACTTACTTAGCTTGTGTTCTTACCACGATTCCTATCTAAGTGTTTGTTTTTATGAGCTTAGCAGATTGGTGTTCTCATAGAACACCTGATCAACACAGGGATACTTTGCAAAATACAATGGATATAACCATAAACACAAGTTAAAGATATTTTTAAGACTGCGTTTTAGGGGATGGGGAGATGGCTCATTTTGTAAAGTACTTGGCATGCTTGTAATCTCAATGCTAGGGAGGCAGAAATAGGAGACTCCTTGAGGCTTGTTGGCAAGGCAACCTAGCTTACTTTGGGAGCTTCAGGTCTGTGAGAGACCCTTTGTCAAAAGAAAAATAAAGTGATGTCTGAAATTGCCTTAGATCCTAAATATACATGCACACACACTCACATATGCAAATGTACACACATACACATGTAACCTCGGGCAAGGGGCTGGAGATTGAAACACACAAAGACACACAGAAAGAGACAGGGACCTCTAGTCACTGGTAAGAAGCCCTTTATTCAATAGCACCATGGAGGCTTATATACCCAACACAGTCAGGTGGGCCAACAGGTGAAAACCTTATCCCCTGATCTTCAAGGCCAAGGCAACACGTGCTCAGGAAGTGGAGCTGGTAAACAACTTTGACACAGCTTTCAGTAGCTCAAATCCAAGGCCAAGCAAAGGTCACCAGGAGGGAAGAGCAGCTGGAGGCCAGGACTCCATATGGTCCCAATAAGAAACTGTCAAAAATTTAAAAACTTAGAAAAGACAGGTGTCTACTTTCTGTTCTCTTCTCCAGTCTCTGACGACAAAATGAAGAACCAAACAAGGTGACTTAAGGCATGAGAGCTTAGGACTGAGGTTCAAGTTTAAAGGATTGACAAGAACTGGTATCGCTGATGAATCAGAAAACTAAGAAAATGTTTCACATAAACTCAAGGTGCACAATGACTTATGTGTGACTGGTACTGCAATGCTGACTCTGTTTCCTATCAGGAGGTACCAAGTTTCAATATTCTCAGCATCTTTGGTGAAATGGGGCGGGGGACTAAGACTCTGGGATTAGAAGCCACTGAAGCTATAATATAGAGAAGTAACTGTCGTAAAGCAAACACCAATGCTAACTTTAAGAATACTATGATTTTGCTAAACAGTATGTATATGAAGCAGTTTGCTTCATATTTTATCTCTTACTATCCCATCAGTTCTTAAAAATGGAAGTTTAATATCAAAGTCGAATTATAGATAATAGATACACAAGCATAAAGAAATGAAATTATATCCTATCTTCATGGGTAGAAAACTTAGTACTATAAATTTATGTTACAGAGTTTGATCTGTGGATTCAATGACTCCCATATAAAACTTTAAATAGCATAGACTAGAGAGATGGCTTGGTGGGCAAAGTGTTTGCTATACAAACATGAGGACCCAAGTTGGATCCTTAGCATTGATGTGAAAAGACTGGCATTGTGGAGAGAATCTGTAACTCCAGCAGAGATAGGCAAAGATGGGCAGGTCCTAGGGGCTTTGCCAGTCTAGCCAGAACGATAAGTTCAATGAGAGATCCTGTCTTAAAATATAGAATGGAGGGTGACAGGAGAAGACCCCTGATGTTACCTTCTGGCTTCCCTATGTTCCTTCAGGACCAAGGGCACTCATATACTTAAAGAAAAAGGAAAAAATACATATTATTTTTCAAAAAAAGAAAATGAATTATCCTACAATTTTTATGAAACCAAAAATAATCTTAAAAATAAGAAACAAAAGAAGCCAAAATAATCCAAAGCAAACACAATAAAGCCAGATGCCATATTGTGTTGACTTCAAAATCTATTACAAAGCTATTGTAATAAAACTAAAAGGAATTTTAAAAATACACTGATAGTGGCTACAGAGACGTCTCAGTGGTTGGGACAACTTACTGCTCTTCACAAAGACCTGGATTCGATTCCCAGCACCCACATGGAAGTTCGCAACTGTCTGTAACTCCAGTTATGGGAGGTAAAACACCCTCTTATGGCCTACAAGCACATGCATGCACACAAACACACACAGTTAATATAATAAATCTTAAAAAAATATATTGACAAATGGAACATACTAAAATAAATCCAGAAAGCTATAGTGAAATCGACACATTTATTGTTAATTGATTTTTGACAATGTGCCAATAACACACCATGGGGGAAAGGACCATCTTTTCAGTTCATGGTGCTGATGCTACAAGCAAAGACATGGAATACTACCCTTGTCACACTTGGTGAACAGATCCATCAACAATCAGACTGAAGTCATAGAATTGCAATATCTGAAACTGGGGGATGGGGAAAACATTGCAGGAGAACAGGAGACAGTTACACAGCGTTGGGTTGTGGAATTTCTTGGATTTGACCCCAAGACAAACACAGATGAATATGGACGTGTTGTCCTGCACAGCAGAGAAAACATCAACAGAGTGAACAGACAACCCACTAAGAGAGAGTATTAGTAGCGTACCCATTTTTGTTGATCCAAAGTATGCAAAAACCCAGTAATTCATAAGAAGAAAGCAAATATCACCACTTAAAAGTGGGTAAAGATCCTAGATAGGGATTTCCTGATACAGACACGAACGGCTCGCAGGTGAAGGAACAGGCAACAAAGGTTGGTGGGAATAGAGAGAAAAGGAAACCACACATTGTGGGGGTCACTTCGGAAAACAGTTTGGAGGATCCTTGACAATCCAAAATAGAAATTTTATATAATCAAGACCTTTCACTACTGGATCATATCCACAGGAGCTGAATACGTATGTTGAAGATAGACTGTATTCTCAAGATTACTAATGGGATGGTATTCTATCTATTCCCTCATGGTTCTCGGATTACAGCACAAGTATAGATCAGTTGATGTTTTAGAAGTGCATATGACTTCCTTGCTCAAAAGTGAGAGCTCACTGACTCTGGACAGAGATCAGGGAAACCAGCATAGGACCAAACCAGGCCCTCTGAATGTACGTGACAGTTGTATGACTGGGGCAGTCTTGGTCCCACTGCCAGTGGGACCAGGATTTATCCCTACTGCCGAAACTGGCTTTTTGGAACCCATTCTTTTTAGAGGGATACCTTGCTCAGCCTCAATACAGTGGGGAGGGCCTTGGTCCTGCCTCAAAGTGAAGTGCCAGACCTTGTTGACTCCCCATGTGGTGGCAGGAAGGGAGGAGAATGTGGGGGGAGCAGGAGGAGGAAGGGAAGTGGGAACGGGGATTGGTATATAAAATGAAAAAAAAAGAGATCATTTTTAAAAATAAATAAATAGAATTTAAAAAGTGAGGGCTCTCTTAGAAACTTGAAGCTCACAGGGTCTTTAAAGTCAGTGTTCTTTGCTGTCTACTACAGTTTTATTCTGCCGTTGGGACAGATATCGACTCTGAAGCTGATATCAAACACCACCTCAGCTTTGCATATTGTGTCCACTTTCCCTTGTGAAGTGTGGAAACTAACCAAAGACACAATTTCTTTTTCTGAGTCCTTTCTGCTCCAGAAGATCATATCGTCCTTAATTGATAGAACTGAGAGCTTCTGGAATACATTATCTCTGATATTTATCATTGCTAAAAGTCATGCCAACGTTATTTTCCGGGTCCATCTCTACAGTCACTGATTTTAATAACACGATGGATGCTTTCCACCATTCATTTAAATTTATCTTTTTAAGGATAGAAGATAATGATTTTTATTGTTCATTGGCAATATTTTCCCAGTTACATTTGCTCCAAATTTTATAATTGTGTTTAACATTGGTAATTCACTTACATTTTCTTTTCCTATTACAAGACTTTGAAAGTATTTAATTCTATCTAATTTTGTGGAGTCACAATCTTAAGCCTAGAGGGAAGCTTTGCTTATTTCAAGTGTGAGATTGCTGTGACCAAACTGCTTCATGAGGGGAACGCACCCGTTACCAATGTAAGATCGTTCCTATGTTAAAAATAAAGACAGTTGTATTTACTGTGAAACTTAAGTTTATTTTAAACCTGAAATCTTAACACGTCTTATCACTAGAGACTTTGAAGTTAGTCAACACCCTAATCCTTCTGTTTGCTTAGGTATAGGATTCCTCAACATGAATAATCAGGGAGTGGCTTTGTGGCCTGTTCAGAAGCCTCACAGGATTCCTAAACTGTGAGAAATTGCATGAAATCAACGGGGCATGAGCTTATAAATTCCCAGCAGTCTAACATCATTCATATATAAGAGAACCTTGCCTCCATGGTACTTTAAAGAGCAGCCAGTGGCTCTATTTTACTTTATCTAATTGTGTGATAGCCTTTATCACCTTTCCCTGGAAGATAACTATTAGTTCACAGACTTCACGTTGGCTAAAGGCACGGTTATTAATTTAGCAGAGGTTCAGCATTTCTGCCTTCTAATCCACACAGCGGGCACAGAGTTCGTTGGAGTTGCATCTGAGATCACCACCCCAGAATGGGTAGAAAGCAGCAGCAGTACACCCTGAACGTTGAGCAAAATTCAGGGGAACAGGTGAGTCCTGCAGAAAACTCTTCATCGCTCTCCTGTCTAAGATTCTTGGTTTCAACATTCAATCTCGCAGGGACTTTTTAACTCTAAGTTTGCCATGGCAGAGTGAATCTGGTCGCAATTATCATGGATTTGTTCAGTGTGCCAGACTGTGTTTTTATATTTCTGATAATCTGGAAATTAGGCTTGGTAACTGTATTTTAGTCTTTATATCAAAACATACGATGATGTGCCAGGATGGAAAAAAAAGAAAAAAGAAAAAAACAAAAGATGATTTAAAGGATCTTATAGGAAAAAATTACAGCATTATTTTTATTTCTACACAGATTAGTCCATTGAAATTATTTATTGTTGATCGTCCCCCCTAAATGTGGTCTATTTCTAATCAAAGTAACAATGAAAGGAAATGTCTCACAGAGGGGGGAACTTTGTTGAAAATATATTATTCCGCTAATGTGCAAATCAGCCCTTTTCTTAGACCCATGAAAACAAATCTAAATGGTCTTATTCCATACTCAAACTAATGCCTTCATTTTACAAATGAGGACATTGAAGTGTTGGTCAGTACATGTAGCTAGGTTTCAGAGTGAGAAAATGAATTCTTTTCTTACATATGCTTCTTTATTTAAAAAAAAACTACTTTTAAGTTCAACATCTGTCCCTGACACAAAAAATGACTTTAATCAACTAGAATTTATATATAAAATAACAGCAAAGTTAGAATATTCTAGAAAATTGTTTTGTAAATTGAAGTTGCACAGGAGAGCAGTTTAGTTTTCAAAACTAGACTATCATAAGCTTAGTGTCTATCCTCCCAGATTCCAGGAATGCTGCGTGACACCACTGCTTTAGCCTCATATAGTAGAGAGTTTGGTTATGTTCCCATGTGCTGCTGAATATGATTTATAGTGTTTGCTCACTATAGCAGAAATTTTGATGCAATTTAGTGCATTGTAAAGTATTTAGTTAGGCCAAGGAAACAATGAGATAAGCTTTCATGACGACAAAAACAAAAAGGAAAGAAAGGAAGAAAGAACGGAAGGAAGGAGGGAGGGAGGGATGAAAGGAAAGAAGGAAGGAAAGAAGATATGAAGAAAGGAAGAATGAACAGAAGAAGGGATAAAAATTTATCCTTTTTTAGCACTGACAGTTAACGTGACCCCTCTTGAGATGCTTAAACTTGAGACAAGGGAGTCTTGTTTAAAGCAATTATGCATGTTTATATTGGGAAGCTTAAAAACATTATTTATAAAACTCATAATTCTACCTATATCACTGGTGTTTTTTCTTTGAATTTAATTTAATCTAATCCTCCCAGCTTGTTTATCACATGGAATTATTATCAAATAGCCAAAATATCTTTCTTTAAAATTATAATTTTATCAAATATATTAATTACACTTATATATTATTATGTATAATAATATAATATTAATTATAATTTATGGACTGATAGGTTATAACTACTGAAACTTTTTGTAAGAGGACACTTATTGAAGTTGTCTTTTGTTCCCCAATAAGGACTTATGTTTTCTTTGTATGAACTCCCCCACATTGCTGTGCTTGGTTACTACTGTAGATAGTGAGACACACGCACCCACCACAAAAAAAAAAGCAAGGACTCTTACGTATATTTCTTTATACATTTACAATCAATGACTTATTAAGTTGTTATCTGAATAGATTATATGACTGATTACTCAAGAGTCTGATAATAAGCCATCCTTCAAATGTTGGCAACTTTGTTTTTACTTTTTTTTTATCCATATGTACTGACTAGAACCTTCAGGAAAATATGATCCCCTTCTCCTTCCTGTAATGAGAGGGCCCTCAGATTTCACTGTTAAAATATATGGGTCATTGTGCTGAAGTAAACATTTCCTGTCACATATAGAAATGATTTTTTCAATTTTAGTCTGTGTAGAGTCATTTTGCTTGCCTCCTTTTGTCAGGGCAGGATGCTTACACTGTTCAGTGCTACTGGGACATCTATTAATATGATCAACGTATTTTCCTTCTTTGGTCATTTGGTGTGAAATGCAAACATATAGGCACTAAACCATTATGATACCCATAGAATTTACTCAGTTCTTCCTTTGTGCCATGCTACACTCATATTATTCTGTTTGTTTTATGTATATTTATGTTCCCAGATCACATAAACTTTCCTCTTTCATAAAGTTTAAGACTTGCTATCTACCTGATTATTTGTTTACTTTGTCTCTTTCTGTATAGTTATTAAGAAATCCGTACTGTTCAACTGAGGGAGCACAATGTGGCTGTAGATCCCACCATGTGACTTGCGAGCTGCATTCGGTAAGGTCTGAGGGGAGGTGGTTAGATGCATCTATTGTTCCTTTGAATAACATGAAACAGGACAGTCAAGTCCTTCTCTGGCACTTTTATGAGGTTCCGGGGACATAAGGTCTCCTACACAGTGAGAGCACTAGAGTGTGTCTTTAAGATTCCATGGGTCAAAACCATTTCACTTTGCGTATTTATATATTTCAGTAAGATCTCTTGTATTTATGCCTGACACATAAAATATATTTAATAAGTAATTTTAATTACAGATATTAATATTTAATGTGAAATATTAAACACAATGAACAAGGAGCAAAAATAAACAGGGTCTCTGCAAGTTTCCACCTTCCAAAGACAATTAGCTCAGTGTCCTTATTTGTATACAGGTCACATCACTACTAATTAGAGCTCTGTACCTGATAATATTATGATGATTTCTAAGGTTAGTTATTTAATATGAAAAGTTATTGATGTAATACAAAGTAATCACTGAAGAATTTTGTTGTCCTCACAAGATTGTATATGGTGTGTGTGTGTGTGTGTGTGTGTGTGTGTATGTGTGTTAGGGAATTTATGGTTTCATAACAGTCTTTAGAATAATGAAGTACATTGATCTTATACTAGATGAAACCTGTTACCTGTTACTATTTTATAATTGCAGAAATAATTACTTTTGTAATGCTTTTCAGGTTAAAGAAAACTCATGTTCACTCTGGAAAATATTCGTAATGTGTCTGTTGGCTTGTCTAGTCGCCACAGCCATTACAGCTCTGGCCTTTTATTTTGGCCGCTTTGGCAACCCCACCAATACCACCATCATCATTCGCACGGATGGAGGGTCCAGTCAGGATTCCTGCACCACTGCTGCGACACCATCTCTGACTTCGTCACCTGCACCTGGACCCGAGACCACTCCGTCTTCGACTACTATAACTACCCCAGACTCAACTCCCTCCCCACCTACACCTACTACAGAGATGGCTAATACTACCATAGAACATGAAGTTGAAATTGAAGATGATTATTCTGTGGTGGTGTGAACTCTTGGTCCTCCAGTTAGATCAATATCCTTACTGAAGCAGGACATGTTTAAGATGCTGACATGACATCTCAAAGCACATGGCTTAGATCGATCCACTTCTCCTCTAATCTGTGCTGCTTTCCATGTGCTGACAGTCTTGTGCTGATCACGTAATACCCAATAAAGATCGGGCTTCAGCAGTTCCCACTATTTTCTTTCTAGAAGTTCTCTCATTCTGAGACTTTTTACCATGGCGGGGGACAATGGAAAAGGACTAAGGCTAGGAAATGTGAGTAGGATCTGGCTAGATGGTCACTAGCTTCCTTTCTTGCAGAATAGAAAACTGTTGTTCTATAGAAGGGAACATCTTTCTGCATTTCTGCCATGCCTTGCCATGTTGGCCATGCAAGGACAAAGTCAGCTGAGGTAATCATGTTATTGCTTATGAATTCTAGCTTTCTGACTTCTCTCCTTGGGACAGTTAGGGGTGGTAAAGGAATATCATGGAGGGAACAGGGCTCTAGATCTATCTAGTGGCCCTGGATATCCAGGGAGGGTAACATCGTGTAGAGCACATGTATTGTTGGGCACTGTGAAGGGCAGAGGTGCCGTTTGTCTAACCTGGAGCATTGATTCGTAGGCGTTTTGGTGAGATGTCCTCTGCCTGACTTTTTGTTGTCCTCCCTTCCTGATTTAAAAGTTTCAATAAACTTTAAGTCGTGCATGCCAAATCTGAGTGTTATCTCTGATTTCTTAGCAGCCTAGTCCACTGACTATGGTAAGAGATCGGAAAATCAATATTTCTGTAGACTCTGAGTGACTCGTATAGGCTAATACAAAGAATGTTTTATTACCTCTTTTGTACTATTAACCTTTTGGCATTATTTTTGTTAATTTGGGGGAGAATTTTATAAAACATATTTTGAACATATTCTTCCTCCAGACTCCTCCCAGAACAACCTTTTCCATCCTCCCGTCCCTTTCCAACCAACTGTCAGGTTATGTCTTTTTCATTTTCTTCTTTCATCTTTGAGCCTAGCTCGCGTGGCTCTGCTAGTCTTGGCAGTGGGGCTGGCCCTGGAATATGTTCACTCTACCCGGGTCACACCATTACAGAAAGGTGACTCTCCATCTCCCAGAGACTGTCAAATGCCAACAGATTCACAACTAGCGATGCCATTTACTATCTGCTTTCTCCCCTCCATGCTGAATTTGTTTGTCATCCTGGCGTTCAAGGAGGCCTTGGGCATGCTGTCCCCACGACCAGGGTGAAGTCTCATGTGAAACTGCTCTATTGTGTATTGGAAACCGTGTTTCTTGGAGTTACCCACCACTGCTGGCTCTTAGAAGCTTTCGGTGTGCTCTTCCACAAAGATCCCTGAGCCTTCAGTAGACCGGTGTGGTATGAACGTCTCATGTATGGCTGAGAACTCTGCAGTCTTTGAGGGAATAGATCTGCATTTATTGACATACGTTATAAGGGGATACTTCTCTGATGAAAGTTAAGAGATGTACTAGTCTGTGGGTACACAGGTAAGAATTTAGGGGGGCAGTTTATTACTTTGTCAATTCAGCAGAATAATATTATTAGGCCCTCCATAGAAACTATGGTCTAAGAGGCACGGGCTTGGGCCCAGTTAATAGGACGGAACACAATTACTACCTTATGAAGCAGGGCTTAGATCTGATCAGAAAATAGTTGGTTACTCCTGTAATGGTTATGCTACTCCTTCACGGGTGGGCATATCTCGACAGGCCAGTTGTTCTTGCTTGCAGTTTCTACACGTGAGATCGAGGCATATTTTTTTCTTCTCTGCCGGCTTTCACAGCAGCTTGAGAACCATGGGGTCTATGTAGTAGGGATGTACTGCAGTGAGGACCATGGGGTCTATGCAGTAGGGATGCACTGCAGTGAGGACCATGGGGTCTGTGCAGTAGGGATGTACTGCAGTGAGGACCATGGGGTCTATGCAGTAGGGATGTACTGCAGTGAGGACTTCAACAGGAAAACGGGCTGTGACGCAAGCTCTGCTCAACGGAGGCTTTTGCCTGGTAGTTCTTTAGCCACAATCTGCCATCGAGCTACAGGAATTCCTTTCTAGTCTCTTGTATTTGACTGATTTTTTAGAAACATTTCTATGCCACTAGTGAGCAGAACAGATGTTCATTAAAATTATTTTTTTAAATTAATAAATACCTATTGATTTAACAGAAAGGATCTTCATGTTGGGAAATTCAGAAGAACTGGCAATCAATGAGAAATAAACAATGAACGTTTCAGTCAAAAGTTGAATGTAGGACAGTATATATTTGTATTAGAACTGAAAATGGGAACACAAGGAATAAAATAAAATTAAGGCAAAGGTGCACTGAGCAAGACTTCAGGTGGAGACAAGGGGCATATTTACAAACACACCTCATTTTCTCATGAGCCCTCTTGATGTAATCCTCAAACTTTATATGCTACTTGATCTCTACAGCTATTTTAAGCATCTACCTAGAAATTTTTGAATTATTAAGTTGCCCTGTATGCATATTGTAATTGGAAGAGCACATTGATTATCGTTTGTTCAGCGGTACTCATGTTTTGAGTGATTAATACTTGAAGCAAAGCTTTCCAATGTGTAAAGAATTCCTTGGTGAACAAGCCTGCCTGCCTCCCCTCTGACTGATAACCCTACAAAAGCAGACTGAACTGACAAGGGATGCTGTCAGCCAAAGATGCAGATTACAAATAAAAAATGGGTGAGTTCCAGATAATTCTATGTTTGTTTGCTGAGACGATAGAAAAGCTATTAGAGTAGATTTTAGAGCCTTGTAGAGGAAGTCATTTGCAGAAGGAGTTGATACATTATCATTCCATCGATTTGGTTAATTATAGGCTACTTTCATTACTTCTCAGGTAGTGGTAAATATTAAAGCAGAGTCTTTGAGGAATTAGTCTATGTACTACAAAATCACTTCCTGGTAGAATATGAGCATGAAGAGAGATATCGTGTAAATTTAAAAATGCCATTAAACTATATGAAAGAGTTAAAAATGCAAAGGAATAATATTGATGCCATTTTTAGAAGAGTTTTAGGAATTTATTTCTATTGTACATTGACATAAGAAAGTTTAATATTTGTTAGATTGGAGTGTGCTTTCATATACAGATTAAATTTTGCTTTGTGATATATTAAAGATAGCTTTAGGATTTAAACACAGGGCCAATAAAAGGTAATACAGACTGTTCTGTATTCTAGGCATTTTGAGTAATAGGAAGCTGTGCTGAGATTTCTCCTTCACGTGTTCAATATTGATGCAGAATGGAGCAGTATGGAAGCTGCCTTCTCCAGGTTCAAGCAGCAACATGGCTGGAAAACTGACTTTCTGAGTTAAATATTGGCACGGAGAGGGATCCTGATTCAGGTTATCAGAGACGATCAGGTTTCTGTTATTAACAGAAAGAATATTGGAATGGATTCTTGAATTTTTCTTTTGTTCTAGGCTTTAATGATTAAATAAACTATTGAAGAGTCCACAGAGTTGTGGGAATTATCTTCACATGTTAAAATATCTAGCCTGACAGCGTTTTAAAAATGTTATGACAATACTGAGTGGGTTTGCACATTTAGTAGGCAGGTAACTTAGCTTATCTACAACCTTATCTAAAGCTTACCTAGTTTTAATGATTAACTCAACACATACTACAACCACCACGCTTTCTGGTATTTCTCACTCCAACACTTGTTCATGGAACTCTAGTGGCAGCGATGCATTTAAAATTATTTATGCAAATGCTCACTATTTGAAACTTCTGACAGCTTATTATAATTTTTATGCTTATATTTATCTTGTGTGCATTTGCTTCTGTATATTGTTTTTTTCTTTTTTTTATTGAAAAAAAAATCCTGCTTCCTCCCAGTCTCCCATTTCCCTCCCCCTCCTCCCGTTCCTCTCCCCCCCCCCCATACTCCTCTCCCCCTCCCTCTCCAGTCCGAAGAGCAGTCAGGGTTCCCTGCTCTGTGGAAAGTCCAGGGTCTTCTCCCCTCGATCCAGGTCTAGGAAGGTGAACATCCAAACTGGCTAGGCTTCCACAAAGCCAGAACATGAAGTAGGAACAAAACCCCATGCCATTGTCCTTGGCTTCTCATCAGCCCTCATTGTCCGCCATGTTCAGAGAGTCTGGTTTTATCCCATGCTTTTTCAGTCACAGTCCAGCTGGCCTTGGTGAGCTCCCAATAGATCAGCCCCACTGTCTCTGTGGGTGGGAGCACCCCTCGTGGTCCTGACATCCTTGCTCATGTTCTCCCTCCTTCTGCTCCTCATTGGGACCTTGGGAGCTCAGTCCGGTGCTCCAGTGTGGGTCTCTGTCTCTATCTCCATCCATCACTAGATGAGGTTCTATGGTGATATGCAAGATATTCATCAGTATGACTATCAGATAGGGTCATTTCAGGTTCCCTATCCTCAGCTGCCCAAGGAACTAACTGGGGACATTTCTCTGGGCACCTGGGAGCCACTCTAGGTTCATGTCTCTTACCAACCCTAAGGTGGTTCCCTTAATTAAGTTATGTGATTCCCTGCTCCTCTATCCAACCTTGTTTTATCCCCCTGTATATTGTTTTTGTGTGAGTCAGACAAGATGACTTTTCAAGCGTCTGACTTTTCAAAGACCTCAAAGCACAACACAAACGGAATAAGCACGTTAAATAAATACGCAGCATAATGACAGAGAGAAGAAGGTAGAATGATGCCCCGAAGCGTGTCGGGTCTCTCGTGCGAGCACACTTCTACTCTAAACCTTGGTTTGATTTGTCAGAGCATTAGGTACACAGGTTGTTCAACATCAGCTGTATTTGTGGCTAGATTTGTATCTGACCTAGATGGAGCCATGACGCTCTTAAAAGTGGAACAAGAAGCTACAAATTATTCCTTAACAATTTCCTGGCTCCAAGACACTTATATCAAGCTGTATTGGAAAGTTTATTATAATTGAAAAATGCTCCAAAATAGAAAAGTTACCTACTCCATAGAGCAAATCCTCCCTGATTTGTATGCAATTCTATTACATTCTATTTCCAAAAATTAGTCATATGACCATATTTGGTGACCATAAAAGAGTAGGAAGATGTCTCTATCTAACAATATGGGTTGTTTTTATGTAGAAAACAAGACAATGAATATTGGGGACAACCAAGAATCTAACACAGTAACTAAATTAAGACATTCAGAGGAACATGCAAGCATTTTTTTCTCTGTTTCTAATCTCTTCATGATCCCCAGATTTTATTTATAATTCTTGAATAAACATCTGGCAGTTACAAAATTATGAGGATGTCTAATAATTATGAGTCATCTACAGTGCTGGAATGAGCTGACTTTAGGTGACAGCCTCGTGTTTCCAGGAAGCTCACCTTCACTAGTGAACAACAATGGTCCCTCCCTGAAGGAGTGGCTCATGCCTTCCACCTCCGTACAGCCCCAAAGAGCCCAGCCCTGTGCTGGCAGAAGAACAAAGCACACGTGTTGTTCAGATGCGTACACACTGACAATATCACAGAGACATCACGCAGCTAGAGGAGCCTTATGAATTGTCCAACCCAAGCTCTCCACCTAGGAAGGGACTGGAGCTGGAACAGCCTTTGGAAAGCTGTGGAGCATGCAGGCATAGTGCAAAGCACGTGATCCTTTCACCCTATGGATGTCCTTGGCGCATTGGT